AATTTTCTTTATTTCTTCGGTATTTCCTTTTATAAATTCTATTTGATGATTAAAATTATTCAATGGTTTTTCTGTGATAGGAATACAATTTTGATTATCCTCGTTTGCGCTATGCATTGTTGCTACTATGCTATCTTGAGCATTCCCCATGAAATTTTCTTCTATGTTATTTTCTTCAGTTTTAATTCGTGAAAGTGCATCAGCTACATAGTTTTCTTTGCCTGGTATGTATTTTATTTCATAATCGAATTCGTTGAGTCTTATCTTCCACCTTTGTAACTTCATGTTTGGCTCTTTTATGTTATTTAGCCATATGAGAGGTTTGTGATCGCTAAGTATTTCAAAATTTCTACCAAATAAATATGATCTGAAATTTTTGGTTGCCCATATTATTGCTAATAATTCTTTTTCTATTGCTGAGTAATTTATCTCGTGCTCGTTCAAAGTTCTGCTAGCATAACATATTGGTTTGTGATCCTGTGATAATACTGCTCCTAATGCATAATTACTTGCGTCTGTAGTAAGTGAGAATTTTTTCTTGAAATCCGGATATACCAATATTGGGTCGGATACTATGAGTAACTTTAATTTCTCGAAGGCTTCTATGTATGTTTCATCTTTTTCATTTACTTTTGATCCTTTTTTTAGCTTTATGGTCATTGGCTTCGCAACTTTGGCGAAATCTGGGATGAACTTCCTGTAAAATCCGCATAATCCGAGGAATCTTTTGATTTCTTTGGGAGTCTTAGGAATTGGAAATTCCTTAACGGCTTTTATTTTGATTGGATTAGGTTTTATTCCTTCTGTTGTTATTATGTGTCCTAGAAATTCAGTTTCTTTTTTCATGAATTCACACTTTACTAGTTGTAGTTTTAGATTTGCTTCTCTGAGCTTTCCAAAGACTTTCTTTAATGCTAATATGTGTTCTTCCAATGAAGTGGAATACACTATTATGTCATCCATGTAAACTAGACAATGTTTGTGAATTAAGTCTCCCAGAAGATTATTCATGCACCGTTGAAAGGTTGCTGGTGCATTTTTCAAGCCAAATGGCATTCGTGTGTATTCGAAATATCCCGCTTTGGTTGAGAATGCTGTTTTCGCGATTGATTGTTCGTCCATCTGAATTTGGTGAAATCCTTTGGCTAAATCGATTGTGGTGAAATATTGACATTTTCCGAGTTTGTCCAATATTTCATCCATTACAGGTATAGGAAACTTATCGCTAATTGTTTTTTCGTTAAGGCCGCGATAGTCGACGACAATTCTATATTTTTTCTCTCCGGATGCATCTTCTTTTTTTTGTACGACCCAGATAGGAGAACAATAAGGTGAATTAGATGGTCGTATAATGCCTTGGTGCATCATTTCTTTCATTTGCTTTTCAACTTCTTGGTCATAGCTTTGTGGATATTTATAAGGTTTTCGATAACAAGGGTCCTCATTCTTTGTATTGATAACGTGTTTTACAGTATTTGTGAAAGTCAAATTGTCACTCTCATTATACTGAATATCGTTAAATTCGAACAAAACTCTTGTTAACTTGGATTTTTCTTCTTTATTTAGATGTTCTAATCTAAATTGGTTACTTTCCACTAATTCATTTTCCAATGCGTATGCTGTATATATATCTTGTATTAGTGGTGGGTCTTCATATTCTTCTTCTTTAGTTTCGTTTTCATATTCTTTTTTCTTATTTTCGTTAACATATTCTTTTTTCTTATTTTCGTTATTATACTTAAATAAAAATTGGAAATTATTAAGTCGAGCAAACTCATCCTCGTAATTGATCTCGCTTTTACAATCCTTAAGGAACGTTCGGCCTAAGAGGATGTCAAAATTTTTTGAAAAATGATGTATGTAAAACTTCTGATCTGTAGGACAAAGCTTGCTAGGGGCTAAAGATATGCTAGTATTTAATTGTACTTCCCCACATATGGTGTGACAAGTAATATTTTCTGTGGAAGTTTCGTAGTTAAGGAAATTTTTATTCATTAAATTTACTGATGACCCTGTGTGTATTAGGCATCGCATTCGTATGTTATTCAAAATTATGTTTATGAATGGGGTTTTGGATTCCTTTCCGAGGCTGTTTGATGAAAATTTGCCTCCCAATCCATTTTTGATTGACCACTGTTACTGGGTCGTTGTCTTTTTATGGGTTGGTTAGGTGGTCTATTATTATTATTATTTGATTGGTAATTCATAGGGTTGTGTATTCTGCCCTGATTTAATTTTTGCTGAAATTCATTATACAATGGTTCGTTAACCATTGGTTCATTTTGGGGATACTGATTCCTATTAAAATTTTGCTGACTTCTAAAATTCTGATTATAATTGGGATTAAAATTTTGTTGACTCCTAAAATTCTGATTGTAATTGGGGTTAAAATTTTGTTGACTCCTAAAATTCTGATTGTAATTGGGGTTAAAATTTTGATAAGTTCTTGGGTTCTGATTATAATTTTTATTGTAATATGTATTATTTATTTTTTCAGGAATGCGGTCCTCGTACAACCCTAATTCTTGGGCTACCGCTTTCAGTTTGTCAGTTGTGGATATGTCGTATCTTGCTAACTGCATATATAATCTGTCCGGTAGTCTCTTATTTATGACGTCCCTAACTGTATTATTTAATGCATTAGTATACAATGTTTTATTTTCTAGGTTATTTTCTAGTGCTAATTTATTAGTTATTACATGTGATTTGTGCTCGAGTTCTTCGAGGAACTTACGAATACTTCCTCCATAATATGTGTTGTACACTCTTCTGAGGAGTTCCTCACAAGGTGTTTGAGTTTTGTAAGTGGAGATGAGGATGCTCCGTAGTGTTGCCCAGTCTCCCGGTGAGTGTCTGAATGATGTTCTCATCGCGTCGCCATACAACTGCATCTGGATTGCGCTGTACAGTATGAGGATTTGGCGCGCATCACTGGTTGGGTAGAGTCGCATGATGAGATCAATCCGTTCGATAAAGTTGCCCAGATCGTCCATTTCTCCACCGAAGATGGGTGCTTGGCGGATTTGCCCGAGTGCCTGGTTTAATGATTCTGACATCGTTTTGTTGTAGATTTAATTCCTTTTTTTTTTGTTGTTTTGTTCACTTTTTAGAAAAAAAAGTTTTTCAAGGATCACGGGGTCCTTATGCGGATAACAGTTTCGCGAAACACTAGTACGTTTTCCTGAATGGAATAAAACGACGTTTCACAAAGTTAATCTGTTATCCTACCGGCTGCGCCAATTACGTTTTTGGAGAGTGTTGTACCGGCTGCGCCAATTGAAAAATCCGACAACGGTTTTTTAGGAATAATATAATTCTTTATTAAACAAAAAAACACGTCTTCTCGGCTTCGTGTACAAAATAACTCTGCTTATGCTAGTGGTTTAATCTATAAGGAAACCTCGCACTTGCTTCTATCTCATGGTCTGTTTATGGAGGGTCTCTTTTGCATTCCTTGTTTATGTTTATCTTATCTTGCCTGCTATGATTCTATTAAGAGAAAGTGCGTCTGCGATGTTGACATGCTGTATGATAAGCGTGAGTGTGGACATGAGAGATCTGCGTGATCTGGATATGTCACTATATATATGTATGTTCATGAATGGGCATGCGAAATGCCCATGAGCATGTTATATGCGCCCTCACAACAATTCAGGCCGAAATCCGGCCCCGATGCAGTTGCGGCGAATTCGCTCTCTTTCGTCCTCTCCCTTTCTAACGCAGGTGTTCAGCCATTTGAACGTGTCTGACACACATGTCCATCAGGACATGTGCCGTTAGTGTGAGAGGAGTATTGCGGGAGCAATACTGTTGTCTATACTCACACTGACGGCACACAGATCACGCCACCGAGGTACAGTCCCGATGGTGGCCAGCCACGGCCTATAAAAGGAGCGCCGCAGCACAAGGCAAGGACTGTGCAATTAAAAACGAGAGGCTGCGCGCATATGCACGCGAACATATATGCGAGTGAAAATCAAAGTATACAAGTGAAAGTGCACGGAGTGTCAAAGGACTCAACAAAACACAAGGATCGCAGGACATCGAGGTCCTGTAAGCAGGTGCGAAGCGTATATCCTTGCCACGATATCCGCAAGAAACCAGGCGAAGCAAACGAGGCTTGGTCTGTGCTGAGCCAGAGAGTGACACGCGTAGCTGACGGGCGGAGTGCCTGGGGCAGATTCTGGCGTACAAGAGCTCGCTTCCAACTGACCAAGGACACCAGTGTATTGCGAGAAGACACGGAACGGGCAGTCATTAAGCAAAGAGACAAGTGTAATCGCAAGTACACAAAGCAGTAGAGCAAAATGGATTACAAAACGTGTAATTTGCTCGGAGCTGGCAAAGATCTTCGATCCTCTTGGCCTGTTCGCTCCAGTCGTGGTAAAGGCAAACATTTTTATGCAACGACTCTGGGAATCAAAACTCGACTGGGACGACGAATTATGCTTTAATTCGCTATGCTCAAAGTCTCGAGTGGCTCCAACCGCAAAACAGTCACTACCTCGTCTAGAACTATATGCTGCATTATTGGGTGCTGAGCTCGCGGACAGAATTCGACGCCATCTCAACCTTGACTCCACCACAGTGCCAGGATACTTTTGGTCGGATTCTACCGTTGTTCTTTCATGGGTCAATGCACCATCTTCCCCATATCATACGTTTGTGGCCAACCGAATAGCGAAAATGCAGGCAGTGACAAGTCAAAATAATTGGCGGCATGTATCTCTCAAGAGGAATATCCACACGAAAGTTACACGAGCACAGTCTATGGCTCTATGGACCACTCTTTCTGCAGACAACTGGATAGCCCTTCAGTTGTAGGGAATTGGGGATTCTATGACAGGAAGCGGGTTATTGCTTTTTTGATTTTTGATTGGTTCATTGGTTAGCGAAATACCCTCAACTGAACCCTCCACGAGGGTGCCGAATGGTAATAGCATCACAGTGGTCATGCAAGGTACCGATGCTAGCTGAGACTCGTGCCCCGAACCTCAGACATGAACTGCATCCATAGTCTTGTCCCTGGGAAAGGACCGAGTCATGGTTCGAGGTAATGGGCCGGACTAAAGTGTAATGCGACCCGTGCCGATAGTCAGCCAGGCTGGGGGCCCACAAATAGCCTAGTCTTCTACGGAGCATATCGGATACTTGGCGATCTCCGATATTAAATCAGCCTTACCTGCACATCGCGGATCTCTGTACAGATGGACATTCCTTTCTCCGCAGCTCGTGGGAATCTAAATATATTCCATAAACAAGAAAACCCAAAAATAGTCCGGTACTCTCTCAAAACCGGTAGGGAGCAATCCCAAACATGTAGCGGAGGCAGTGGCTCGCAAGCCTGGCCAAAGCGGCAGCATGACAAAAGTGGCGGAAAAGTCAGTGGAAGTGGGTGGATGGAGCCCTCGCTGTCCACTGCCTGAAGCTACTAAGCAAGGAGTCTGGGCCACCACCGGTATGCAGGGATGCTGGGTGGTACCAGGGAAACACGAAGGTTATCGCCTGCCAGGACGCTCGCTCAGTAGAGCTTTACAAAGCTGCCGTAGCAGAGCTTGGTGAGGTCTACCCCGGGGCGAAGCTGGTCGCTGTCGACTGGAGCGAAGTCCCGAGTAGACCTCGTTCACGCATCTGGATCTCGGCCTCCTTAAAGGTACCGGACCAGGTGCTTAACCTTTTGCAACTATGCAACCCCTCTCTTCCCACCCATGACTGGAGGGTGGTGAAGATTGAGGCCACCAATGGGCCAACCAACCAGGCAGTGCCAATCCTCAACAAGGAATCGCTGGCCCCCATCGAAGCTGCCAAAGGCGAGCTCAATTTTGGCTTCGGCTCCATTACCGTTAAGATATACAAATCGGATGCGCCGGTCGGAGGAGACCCTGTTATCTGTAACAAGACGGCCGAACAGGGTCGTCCTGCGGAGATCGGAGCAACCCATGAGGAGCTGGAGCCAGGTTATACGTAGGACACTTCGACTCTGAATCGGGGCCTTGAGACATTGTGTCACGAGTTGGACGAAGATGATTTCACGCTGTGGGACGAAGACGACAGCAACAACACGGTGGTGAGGATGGAATCTCCGGATGTCCTTGAGACTACGGCAGATAAACCTTCACCACAGTAAAGCAGCATCCGCTTCTCTGATGCTCCGCCTGCTTGGAGGCGGAGACGATATAGTACTAGTCCAAGAACCTTGGGTGATTGGAGGAAAGGTTTGCGGACTAGGCAACAAAAATTACAAGCTGTTAGTAGCTGGAAATGAAGGTAAAAAACGTACCTGCATCCTCGCGAAAAAACACCTAAATATTTTTGTGCTCCATAATTTTAGCAATGATGACAACACAGCGGTAAGCCTGTAGCTCCAGTCAGCTCCGGTAAGGTCCTTCGTCCAGGAGTGCGAGAAGCACTTCTCGCGAGCCATCCAGAACCAATTCACTTCATAACTCAGAAGAAGGCGAACTGGGAAATTTTGAAAGCCAAACTTGACCGAACCCTTTCGGAACACTCACCGAAAGGCCCGGACAACTTAGCTCATCTCTGCAACCTCACAGAAATTTTCACCACAGATTGTAACAAGGCTTTTAAGGCAGCTTGCCCTATCAGTAAGCCAATGCATAAGAGGAAACCACCATGGTGGACACCTCAACTAAATGTCCTTCGACAAAGTTGCAGGTCTCTTTTCAATGCGGCAAAAGCGCAAAATAATGACCTGCAATGGTCAAAATACAAATCAAGTCTGGCTGAATACAAAAAAGCCACCAGACGGGAAAAAGAGAAATCTTGGAGAGATTTCTGCACAGATATTGATTCAACTACTGAAGCTGCAAGGCTTAGAAAAGTTTTATCAAAAACCACACCCACACTAGGTTATCTGAAAAAGGATGACAACTCTTGGTCGGTCTCCAGTGAAGAGTCACTGGAAATCCTCCTTAAAACACACTTCCCTGGCTGCTCCGAGCAGTCCCCGATGTGCACAGAAACCACCTGTATAGAAATCACATCTTTAAAGTCTCTTATACACAAAGGTAGCATAAAGTGGGCAGTAAACAGCTTCAAGCCGTTCAAATCTCCAGGCCCGGATCAAATAAGCCCAGCCCAACTACGAAAGGCGGGCAATACAGCCATAAACTGCCTACACGAAATCTTCGGGAAGATTCTGAAGATTGGTCGCATCCCACCGAAATGGCTCCAGTCAAAAATAACCTTCATACCCAAAGCTGGGAAGCCATCGCACACCAGCGCCAAAGACTTCAGACCCATCAGTCTGTCATCTTTCACGCCAAAGACCCTGGAACGACTTATAAGTCTCCATCTCACAGCATCCACTGACCCCAGGCTTATGTCAGAGTCCCAACATGCCTACAGGAAGGGCAGATCCCGACTAAATAATGTGAATCTACTTTTCAACAACAGTGTCAATTTCCTAGGATTGACACTAGACAGGAAACTAGACTGGAACCTCAATATCCAAACACGGGTTAAAAAGGCAATAGTCGCCCTATATACGTGTAGGAAATCCATTGGACTGAAATGTGGTATATCCCCAAATATCGTTCGATGGTTATATACATCTATAGTCAGACCTATACTTTGTGTGGCGTCGCAGTATGGTGGCCCTGTCTTAAAAAGAAAACCACCCTTTCTAAACTAAACAAAGTTCAGCGTATGGCTGAACTATGCATATCGGGAGCGCTTCATACCACACCTAGTGAGGCACTTGACGCTATCCTGGACATTCCGTGTCTGGAAAGACAAGGAATGGAAAATGCAACACTTACGGCCATAAGACTCAGAGTATCCCTCGCCTGGACTATTCAGAGCACTGGTCATGCCTCAATCGTAGAAGGGAAGCCGACCATCCCTTCGAAAACGGATTACTGCGTGCCAACGGGATATTCCATTCAACACATACTTCCCTCAAAGGGAGGAATGGGTTTATGGCACCCCCGGTCTACCGGCGACCAAACTAGAAAGGCTCAAAGTTAGCCCTGGCTATATAAACATATATATTGATAGTCAGGCACCAATCAAATCCATCAGCTCGATATCTTCAAATTCGATATCAGTAACAGCCTGTCGCAAATCTCTACACGACATGGCAAAACAGCATGTTATTAGCCTAATATGGGTCCCTAGCCACAAGGACATTGAAGGCAACTGTAAAGCCGATGAGCTAGCTAGGAAAGGTACTATACTACCACTCCTCGCGGACAAGGAAGGTATAAGTATTCCTCTAGCTACCTGTAAGCTCAACATCAAGGAGGAGTACAGGGGCAGGTCATGCAGAAAATGGCAAAGTGCCACCTGTGCCCGCATAGCACACCAGACATGGCCAATTATTAACCCCAAAAGCAGCAGAGAGCTATGCAGTCTAAGTCGGACCAACTGTTCTGCAGTGATCCAGGCTCTAACTGGGCACTGGCTGGTTGGCATTCATGCCAACAGACTCCAGGTGCCATACAGTGACTTTTGCAGAGCTGCAAAGATGAGGAGGAAGTGGAATCTCCAGTACATTTCTTCTGCCACTGCCCAGCACTTGCTAGGAAAAGGCTGGAAATCCTGGGAAACCACTCCCTAACTGATTTATCGGAGCTCCGACACTTGAGACCGGCCAAAATAGCGAAATTCATAAACTCATCCGGCTGGTCAAATGTTTAAATGTTAGAAATGCTTTGGAGGCACGACTGCAGGAGGAAATACCCCCTACATCCCCTTTCGGCATCACAACGGGCCAAATATGGCCTAAGTGTGTCAGCCCATCGGGCTGACAGCCGACATAACCTAACCTAACCTATCTAACGCAGACTTTTTAATACCTTTTGATTTTTTGATGCATCCACCCCCCACAAGAGGCAATGAATACATTTTGGCTCTAAGATCCACAAATTCCAATAGTCTTTTTGATCCCATATTTTTTTGATAACTCCTCCGGGTCATCTTCCGCAATGTCTTTATAGAAATCTTTAGTCTCAATAGAATATATGAATGAGTCTGTATCCATATAATTCAATGAAACTCTCTCTTGAAACTTTGGCTTCATGTAATCATAACGAAAATCATACATTTGCCATTTCGAAAGTTCGAGAACTGTAAAACCTAAGTACATAGGCTTATCATAGACGTTATGGAGACGATTCATTTGAATCGCATACATATCTTCAGAAAATTGGGCTGAACTGTGGAAATTTGCCCTTGCACGAGCACCCAATCTATTGCGATTTGTGGTTTTCCACGTTGTGACCAGTTTGACGTCTTTACGATTTTCTACGTTTTCCATCGTTTTTCCATAGACACCGTTATTTAATAATTTGAAAGTGTTTTTCAAAATTATTTTTTGCTTGTGTTCTATGATATGTATTTAAGTCTATGTACTTTTTAAGCCAGGGAGACTGCTTAAACTCTAAAATTTTGTGTATTTTTGTTAATACTAAGCCATTTCTTAGACATTGTTGGAGATTTCTATAATGGATAGGATACTTTATTTTTGACCTAAGGTCAGCAACAAGTTTTTTATCTTTAGCCTCCGGAGTAGGCTTTTGGTTTGATGGGCCAAAAGGTAGATCATTATGGTAATCGTGAAGAGAGTCTGGATACAAAAGATCTACCTCGAGAATGTACCCAGACTCTGAATTATCTTTGATTGATGAAATATCAAATGCATTCAATTCCGCAACATTCATCCATCTAAAGCCGGAACATGGGAGATATTGCGACATTGACCAACCATATAAATTATTGGCATCTAAATACATCAGGAATTCTGATGGCTTAGTGCTGTCATAATTCTCCATATACATATGGTTGGCTTTCGAATAGCGCTTGCAGCACTGAACTAGTCCACCACGAATACCATTTTGAATGAACCTATACATATTAATGTCAGTTAATAATTCTAGTTCTATTTTTGTGGTCTTCAACATTGCATCCCATGAGAGACCGGGTGTAGTGTAATAATGTGCGGGATCTCATGAATAAATTTTCTTGCAAATTGTACGAAAATTTTGAAAGACATTCGACAGTAAAAGAACATCAGTCTTAAGATACAATTCCATGTAATCTTTAAGACTTTGACATCCAAAAACTGACCAGACTTTTTGCGCGTGGGAATAGTCTTCGACTGAACATTCTGTATTAGATAAACTGTTGAAGAATTTATCTCTGGGGGGAAGAGCTGACTCATCTGATCTGCTCTCTGAGTCAATATACTCATAGGAAAGGACCCCTTTTCTACACATTAGATGAAATTCATCATCTAATGGGAAAAATGCTTTAACGTTATTGAGACTGTCTATATCTAGATTGCTACTAAGTGCATCTAGATTTGTTGCCATGAAACGGAACGTATCTAAAAATCTAACTTTTGAAAATGAAATGTACAACTCCTTATTAAGGGGGAGTACTTTTATATCACCTTCAACTTTATTTAATTCCCTAACGAACAAATGAGAATCATATTTAGAAAAGTTGCGGAAAAATACAGGAACAAAAGGTGTAATTTGAAAATTAATGTTGCAGGCATTATGTGCTGCACCGCTATACAACCCAGTTAAATGGCAATGATCCCTAACTCGATCATTGCGTAAAGTTTTTTTTCACAGATGTGACAAATGGCTGCATTTCTAAACCCAAACTCATCACCTGCACTCATATTTATGAGCTTGATGGTGCTTAGGTAACAAGTATAAATATCGTTTACATCTCTGATAAGAGACTTGACTAATTTTATACCTGCATCTACCCCAGTTTCTAGAACAAGCTTAATGTTGGGTTAACGGCGCACTTTATATAGTACGAATAAGCTATGGGGATATGCTGAGAAGTTGCTATAACATTCTCACTCAATTGCGAATTGAGGGGTGTTAGAACACACTCAAAATCTGCGTATACAACAAAAGGTACGTCTAAACTACGACTAAAATTCTTAAAACTAAGACTTGCTTTTTCTTCCGATGGGAGCGTTGACAC